GTGTTGTGCTGCTCACATTCAAATTCAACCTCTGTTCCTAAACTGCTAGGGTAGGAAATAGCTCTGCTTTTAATAGTCATTTGCACCAAATTGCCAGTATCTGGACAAATATTTTGACCTTGCATTTAACTATGAGAGTGAGATCCCTTTGCTGCCCACCACCTCTCTGTAGCAGTCGTTGTTAATATTGGGTGAAAACAGGGCAGTCTGTGAGAACAGGGGAATACGGAAATTTTACAGTGTGAGAAAAGTAATAATTGGTCTTAGCTCATTTTGGAAGATTCTTAATCAAATAATTAAATGAAAACAGCCCTACATGGAGAAGGGGGCAGGAGGGGCAAAGCAGCCTCTGAACTCTGTGAGCTGTAGGAAGGTGATGGAGGGGAGCTGGTAGAAGGGGTAATGTTTGTTCTGGTTTCTTTGGGAGAATTTGATGTTAATGAGTGTGGATATACCCTTCTTCTTTCTCCTTCCACCGTGACTGTGCCCATGCTGTCTGTCCATACTGCAATAAGCTGGTGAGCCGGTTTGCTGTAGAGAACGGGTAGAACAGGAGCCTGCAATGAGACTGTCCTCAAAAGCAGTAATTCCTGCCCCTGTAAACTGGGAAGGTTTGTGCATCTGCACCTCAAACCCCTCATCCTCAAGCCAGGAACCACACCTTGAGCTTATTTAGAGCCCAGGGTGATTGATGACCGTGATCGCAAAGCTGGAGAATGTTTCAGTTCAGAAGCTTTAGAAAGCGAGTTAGGGGCTCGATGCCTAACAGATTCGATACAGCTTCCCAAAAGGGGACATGAAGGAGCGTAGCAGTTACGAACTAGTCATGTCATAGTCTTGCTGAGCTCCACTTAATCTTTTCTGAAGGATGAATCCTGTTCTGAGACCTCCAAAAGGACTGGTCCGTTAGCGGTCACACTAATGGAAGCTGATGGTCAGCAGTATCAGAGACTGACTGTGGCTCTGCGTGCAGAGCAGTACGGATTTGGGTGGGATGGAAGGGACTGAAGTGAAATAGTAGGTAACGATGAATCTGGAGCGGGCAGGAACTTGCCTTTCACTTCATCTGCTTCTCGAACTACTGGTTTTGAGGTGGAATGACAGGAACTGTCAGATGCGGCTGATGATCCTGTGTGTGTTCCTGGCAAACGGAGAGGCCTTCGTTTAAAAAAAAAAAAGGGGGGGGGGGGGAGCAATAAAATAAATGGCATAATAACATCTGGTTCCTAAGGCTATTTTTAGGCAGCTATTGCATTTAAAATAACAAAAGGTAGGCTGGGCACAAAACACAGGTAGTTGGAAAAAGTATTAAGTGAATATTGGGGGATTCTGAGCAAAGCGGCAGCAAAGAATAAGCAAGGGACGAAATCTTTCCATTCAGAGGAGAACGAGTTTCATTTCCAAGAATAAACGTAACCACAGTCTCACTGCACGTTTACTTGTTAGCAAACTATCAGAGCTGTGGGTCAGGGGTTGTAGTAATGCAGCAACACCTTTTGTCAAAGAAAAATGCCCAAAGTGCTTTCCCTGGGGATGCAGGTTTAGTACAGCCCCGCTGGTTAGGGCTTCATCCGAATTCTGGGGTGAGCCTCTTGGCTTGTTTTGAAATATCGTTTTGGGTGTGGGATTTTTTTTTTTTCCCCCCAGTTTGGAGGTTTGTCCGTCAAATCAAGGTCCGGATCAGTGGAGTCGGAAGCTGCTGGTTAGGCAGCTCACGTAACCCTGCGGCAGCAGCCGCCCTCCTGTCCTTCTGCAGCTGTGTTGGGGGAATCTGTTCAGAAGCACGAACTGCCGCCCTGCACCCAGGGTGGTGGCTGAAATTGAGTGATAGTCATGAAAATAAGATGATTAATATAGGAAGGGTTCGAGTGCTTATGAGTACTCACTCATAGAGGCAGAAAGGATGTAATACAACATGAAGACCGTGCATCTTATACCCAAATCGAACCCTCCTCACCCCCCCCCTTTTTTTTTTTTAAAGTTAGGTGGGACTTGTCAACTGATTTTTAGCTTCCAAAATTTTCACAATAAGCTTTATGAAAGGCTAGAATAGTGTTACATTTGTGCCAGCTTTCTAGAAGAGCCTGTAGAGGAAGACACGTAACTATAGATGGGTAAACATGAGGAAAAAAAAATAAAGCAAAAATAGTGGCTAAGCTGTTAAACAATGGAATCAATTCAGTACGAGCTGCGTAGATGCCAGACCAGTATAGCTTTTGTAAAGATTGGTCCTGCCAAGGCTTCATTCCTTGGTGAGCTTCCAAAGCGCAGCTCTGCCTAGACTTTGTTAGATGCTTGGCTTAACATTGATATTCTGCTCTGATACAGTTTTTAAAAGGAATGTACTCCGTGAGCTAAAGGTCACGTACGTGGCAGAGCTCTCCTCACTGCCCCAGAGCTTCCTGAACGTGGGAATGCTTCGGTGTGTTCAGTGCTATTCAACATGCTAGTAGTGATCTGGAAAGAAGTATAAGATGATAATTTTTTAGATGCAGTGGTAGGAGGGATGATGATGAACATTGATGGGAGAAGGACAGGTATATTGTTTATACTGCCAGATACAGCTGGGCCTGTATAAAATATACTTGCGTGCAGTTCTCGCATAGTCCTTGCACGCAGAAATCACATCCAGGAGCAAAGATGTGAAGAGGGGAAGGGTATACCCTGGGGAGCAATGCCTTTGGAAAGAATTTGGGGTTGCTGTAGGAAATCACACTGAATTATAGCTTCCAGGGAGACCCTGTGGCTTTCTGGAGAAGAGGATTAGCCTTGTGAAGTTAGTGCATAGCCTCGGTGAAGCTAGTGTGAGAAGAGTTGCTTCCAGTTGTGTTGTTCACGTTTGTAGGAGCTGCTGCACCATTGGGGAGGGTGCACAGAAAAGCTATGGGAGCAGCAGGGAGTGATGAGCCAAGGGCTGGTTTCGGAGGGGGGAGTCAAGGAGGTCATGAGGAGAGGTTGTCTACTGCGTGCAAATGTATTTAGGAGAAGCTTATATTCAGTGGTAGGGATTCTGGCTGGAATGTCAACCTAGATACGCTATGTCTGAAGATGGGCACGAGCTCTTGGCAGGGAGTAAAGCGAGATGCTCACGTTACTGGGTTCTCTGCTGTATCATGGTTGGTGCTCTCTCCAAAAGACATTTGTTAGCCGGAGGAGTCACTGGGTCAGTGTAAGAGTACCTGAACGAAACTGAGTTTTGCCATGTAAGAACCAAAACAGGACCAGTGGGTGGTCCCTGGCATGCCTGAGGCTCCGCTGCTTCCTCCAGCGCTGCTGGTTTTTGCTTGAGCATCAGACTGAGCCGTCTGCTAAGGCGGTCAGATGAGCTTTGGGCTGGGGTTTAGAAAATTCCCTCCTCATCGCTGTTTTCACTAGTATTTATTAACAAATGACACTGGCAAAAACTCAGAAAGCGTAAGATCCTGCGGAGCGGAGATGCTGCAGAGGCTGTTTTCTTGACCCTTTGCATGGAATAATGTAGATTTGAAGGAGGTCATCTGGTCTGACTGTGGGCTGCAACCCCACAGAGATCTCTGCTGGTGGGGGACGACTGCGTGCCCCTGCTCAGGCTTGTGCCCGAGCCCTGGGGTGCCCCCGTACAACCGCAGAGCTCCCACAGAAGTCCGAGTACTTCTCTAAGCCTGTTTCTCAACTGGAGGAGCGAGCAGCCTGCAGGATCCCGGTCTGCGGTGCCATGGGCAGGGGGGACCAGGACGGTGCCCTGCCGGCTCCCCGCCGGCAGTGGCGGTCCCTCCAACGGGGACCGGTGTCTCGCTGTACATCTGCCTAGCAGTCAGCACAGGTGGGATCGGGTCTAGCAACATAAATACTAGTCCTCCTCTTGTAATGGTATTTCTCCTGTGGTTCGTGAGCCACCGTAGCTGGCCGGTGTCCCTTGCAGGGTCTCCTACCTGTTAGCTTGTACGCACGGGGGCAAAGGAGACCGGACCTATTTCAGGATGTTGGCTTCTCCTTGTACTAGACATCAGTAATTCAGCTGAGCTGTTTTGCTGCTTTTAGGCAGAACTTGGAGTGCACGTGTCCTGCCCGAATCGTCGGAGGGCTGTGCTCGCCCTCGCCTTTATTTCCCTTTCCTCCCAGGGCTTATTTCACTGCTTTTGATGCAGGGTTGTTTGAATGTTCATAGCAAAACTTACTACAGGCAAACAGCTGTATCTCCTGCTCGGGGATTTCAGTTAATCAGTCACAAATTTAGGATTTGATGGTTCTGGTTCCAGCCTTTGTGACAGGGTGTTGGGAGGCGAAAACCTCTTGCTTAACTTCTGTGCAGGGGTTGTGCTTGATATCAGTATGCTTTATGAGCCAGGATACCTATTTAGTAGAGGGTATGATCAGCCTGACCCTGCAGTGGGAGCAAAAGTCACCTGTCTTGCTGCGTCCACCTGATTTTGCTTCTGTCTACAGCGGGATGGGTTTAAAAAACCAAACAAAGAAACCCCCACCAGCACCGATGAAAAGATGGGTCTTCTGTCTCGGTTCTCCTGGCTGGGATCAAAGATCTCCACTCTTTTCAGGGGAAATTGCGTAATTGGTTTCCATTCTTTATCCCACAACTCTCAATTCAGTATGCTGTGGGTTTTCTTTAAAAAAACCTCAAACTTAAAATATCTCTGCAGTCAGTAGTTAGCTCACAACAAATCTGCTCTGAGTTTCAGATGAGCAATGTTAAATATCTAGAGCTTTAAAAATGCGTGACAGTTTTGATGTTTGGCAAAGAAGTATTGGGGAGCCTGAGCTTGGGGGCTTTTTTGTTTGCTTTTTTTTCTTTTCTGGAACTGGAGCGTGGGTACGTGGACTGGTTTCACTGTTGCTTATTATGGCAGCTTCAACTTGTATTCTGCTTGGGAATAGAAGTTGGATCTGGAATCTTTCTGCCTCTGCATGCGTGATGGTCAGGTGAGGGGCCGTGGTTGTCTCCCAGCAGAAGATTAACACTGACCAAATACATTCAAACATTAACCGTGTGTTTTTGTTTTCAGTGGGACTTCTCCTCTTGCATGCCTGAATGCTATGTTACATACAAACTCCCGAGGGGAAGAGGGCATTTTCTATAAGGTCCCGGGGCGCATGGGAGTGTACACGCTGAAGGTAAGTGGCTCGGCTGGGGAATCTTGTTTCAATGCTCAGGTGACTTTTATCCATTTAAAAATATGTTGGATTAGGATAATCCTGAAGAGGGAACTATTCCTCAATTGCATGAATGTAGCGTAAAGTTTACCTCCACGTGCGAACACTAAGTCTTTATGCTTGCTAGTGAGCACCTGTGTGCTGAAAGGACAACCGGAGGTGCTGGGCTTTATTCACATTTTTATCCCAGAAATGAAAGAGTAATTAAAATTTTAAATGACATTTTAGCCCTAAAAGGATCTTCACCGATCTCAACTTGTATCTAGAAATGAAAAATTACCTTATACTCAGTCTGTGTCTAGTAGGTGGAGAACATTTGTAGAGAAACCACGTAGATTCCTTTATTTACCTGATTGGCATATTTAAAAATAATCTTTATTTGAAACCTTTTTCCCCGGTTAAACTATTAGAACGAAGCCTGCTCACACTGTTCTTGATTTTCTGTAAATTTGACTCTGAGGACTGTGCCATAA